TTAGAAGTTTTAGTTTGAATGTTACACTTGTAACGATTCATGAAACTTTTGGTGACATCTTGCCAAGTCGCAGTATGCTTGGCATCTAGGGAATAGAACCATTGTTGGCAAGCATGTTCTAAGGAGAGAGGGAACACCGTAGGGAAGAGTGTTACGTCCAATCCCTTAAGAGCCATGGTTGCAGAGAAGGCCTTCAAATGGAATATTGGATTGTCAGTAGGCTTGAACTTTGGAATATCAGCAGTGGAGAACTTTTCAGGGAGTCTGTCCTTCACATTCAAAGGAGTGGGAGGCCGTTCCACATAAGTGAAATCCTCAGAAATCTTACTCATTTGTTCCTTCAGTTTGTCAAGGGTGGAAACAGTGACCTTGTTTTGTTCCATGGTAGTGACCCTAGTGGTAAGGGTTTGCATCATGGAAGACAATGCCTCAATGGATTTGTTGATGTTCTCAATGTCTTCTTTAGTGGCCATTGAAAGGTGATGAGTAACGGAGATGACAAAGTTCTCTTTGAACGCCTATTAGATCTGAGAGATTGTTGCGGTAATGGCTCGAACCGTATTGATCTATCTCTGTTCCTTGAACAAGTACTGTGAAATAAAATAATTCACTTAATTGTTTGACTCATTGCTCAAGATAGGAAAGGAAGGAAAAAAAAATAGACATTTGAAAACAGGTGAGAAAACTCCACTCATTTTTTATTATGATGAAAAAAGGATGCATGAACCTAATATACGATCATAAACGACCTGGTGCACGACTCGAGTCGGAACATAAAGAAAGTGTGTGGACTATACTTGACTCGTGAGTGACTAAGTGATGTTATAAGACTTGTGGTATGATCGTATGGCTAGACATGTGAACAATATCCAAAATGACTGACGCGAGGACCAAATTAACACGGAAGACTTGACTGACGCTTTTTTTTTTTTGACGTGACACGGGAACGTCTCCCGTCAGACGGGATAACATCCCGTGTCACGGGAATATTTGACATTTTTTTTTTTTTCCGTGACACGGGAACTTCTCCCGTCAGACGGGATAACATCCCGTGTCACGGGAATATTTGACATTTTTTTTTGCCAGGGGATGACGTGGCACAGGACATTTCTCCCGTCAGATGGGATAAATTCACGTGTCACGGGAGTCTCTCTTTCCTTTTTTCTTCGTTCAGGCCCACCGTGTCACGGTGAACAGTACCGTGACACGGTAGGTATCCCGTGTCGCGGCATTTCCCTTTTTTTTTTAACACAAATACAAGACTTCCCTAAAATACGGTCAAAAAAGTGGTGCACGACTTAAAGCAAAAAAGTGTGTGAACACGACATGTGAGTGATTAATTGAGGTTATGGACGCGTGTTTTGACCGTATAGCTAGACACGACTCAAAACTGGACACAGCATTCGCACAAAAATCGAGAAAAACACTGACATGACACTTTCTTGTGCACCGTGTCACGGTGCTGTCTACCGTCAAACGGTAGACTATCCCGTGTCACGGCACTGTTCACCGTGACACAGTTGAACATGCCGTGACACGGTGCGCAGTTCCAGGTCAATTTTGTGATTTTTTCAGATTTTAATCGATTTTACTATGTGAGAATAAAAACCCTCGGTCATGGGTTAAACAAAAAGAGAAAACACATGAGGGTTAGCACCAAACAACCACATAGCATTTAGGCACGATGATGTAAAAAAGTTCGCAACCTAGGGTCGAGATCTATGTTCAACTATTGGTAAGCTTTGGGTGTCAAAAGGGTACCATGGTTAAGAGTTTGGAGGCGTTAGCAAGGAAGCCTCCCTTGAAGGTGTATGCCAACGGGCGGCTCCGCGAGTTCGTGATGAAATTGAACTCGACTCCATGGTTTGGGTGGATTGAATAACTTGGATGAACCCTTATTGCCATGAGCGTTTTTGGGTCGATAGAGCTTAAATCCCCCGGGGCTAAGACGCATGTAGAACACATACGTTTTTTCAGAAAAAATCGAAGGAAGTCGACTGTGAGAAAAGAAAATAGGCCACCGGACTGATTTTAGGACTGCCGTGACACGGCAGAAATTCCCGTGTCACGGTACAGTGCACCGTCAGACGGTGGACTGTACCGTGACACGGCAGACTCTGCCGTGACACAGCAGTCAGAAAATCTGACTGGTATCCTGTTTGCTTTTGCGCGCAACCAAGTTATCCAATTTTTCCTACTGGACAGCCCTGAATGCGACGTTAAAACGTCTATGCAGATGCAAAAATGCCAAAATAATCACAGGAATATTTTTTCAAGAATCTTTCAAGTCTCATCCACTCATCTTAATTAAATACTGATCACCCAAATTGATAAATAATTAAAAATCCTCCCTAGTGGAGACGCCAAATTGTAAGCGTCGCCCGAAGTGCGCCTACGTTAAAAGCATGTTGTGAATATGCTTGGCACTCATAGGAGGTGGGAATTGACATAATACGATTAGGGACAAGGAAAGTAGGGAGCCGCCAACAAGTTTTTAAGGAACTTGTAAACCGTTCACGGATCATAAAAGGCAACCACGAATAAGGGACAACGAAGGCAACAACGATTGACCCGTGAAGGTTACACCCCATTCATAATCCATGAGATTACTAACTCCATATGGTTCGGAACCACGAAAGGAGAATCGGGGATGATGGTACGAAGTGAGTCATGGAGTCACATTCGCCCGTATTGGCCTCTACTCGATTCTTATATTGAAAGCATTCCTGTGATCTCAAAGGCATACAAACAAAATATTCAATTTGCTCCAAACTATTATTTAGCTAAATTGGTTCAAAATTAATGCACACATAATTCTAAAAATTTGGTGATCACTTCAATTAATAACAAGATTAAAAGGATCCTAAACTGGTTGTCCAAATTATCTTATAAGGCGTGATTTTCAATTACATATTCCCTTTAAACATGCAATATGGTGATCAATAAATAATAGAATAACATTAATATTAAAACCAATTTAATCACAATTCCAACAACATAAAAATCGTTAGAAAAAATAATAAAAAGAGCATGATCCTCACTTTGAATCTATTTGCTTGCAACTACAAAATAATAAACGAGTTAGTAACTTCAAGAAAATAATAAAACAATAATTAAATTAAATTAAATTAAATAAGGTTGATTTTGGGGCCAAACCCTCAAACGATTCTACCTTGGCTTAAGGACAGAACCTCGAGTAAAATATGGACTCCTTTGAGTGCTTGAAGAAGGAATTTTGAAGTAAAAAGGGTAGGCTAGTGTTTAGGTTAATAGCATGGAAGAGAGAAAATCAGAATAATAAAATTCTGGTTGCCCCGTACATCAGAAATGAGGGGGTATTTATAAGGGAAAATGTGCTGAGGGAGCACACGGAACCCTAAAATGATAAAAACCCTAAAAAAGTATCTCGTGACACGGTCAGACTGTACCGTGACACGGTCAGACTGTACCGTGACACGGTCAGACTGTACCGTCAGACGGTACACTTTCCCGTGACACGATACAGTTTTGGAGTGACGCGGGAAATTTTCAGAAAACGGAATGAAAAATGCGTTAAGGGTTTACGCGGAAAGGACACGGAACGTGCTGTGTCACGGCAGACCTCCCGTGTCACGGGAAGTCCCACCGTCAGACGGGAAGGGTTCCCGTGACACGGTCAGACTGTATCGTGACAAGGTCACTTCCAGTCCATTTTTCCGTCTAAATTCATTTTTAACCCTAATTTCGGGGTTTTTCTGATTTTTATTATTCGGGCTAAAATAAGAAAATAATAAAATAAAAATAAATAAAATGTTTGGGCCAAAAATAAATAATAAAATAAAAAGGTTTGGGCTTAATATTAATTAATAAGCTTTGGCTAAAATTAATACTATGATTTTACCAAACATCAAGACTAATCCATGGACCTTTCAAAGGTATGAATTTAATAAAATACGATTTTTTAAGCACTCTCGGGATTAAATACTAAACCCGACCAATTGAGGCAGTGAAAGGTTATTTATCATCGGGTTTGGTTTTGGGGAGACATTTTTAGGTGTCTACACGTATGGTGTAAGGTCTTTCCAACCACTTTGACTGGTTCAGCAGCAGATTGGTTTAACAGCCTAGGAAATGGAACAGTAGACAGCTTTGAGAAGCTAACAGAAATGTTTGTTAGGCAATTTATCAGCAACAGCGTGCGACAGAGAACTTCAAGGAAGTTGATGTCGGTGGAGAAAAGGCCGAATGAGTCTTTGAGGGATTATATAAGACGGTTTAACAATGAAGCAAACACAATTCCAAAGTTGTAGTAGGAGATAGCTGTAATGGCTTTGATGAATGGCTTAAATTACTCTGAATTCAAGTGCTACCTCACAAGAAAGAACTTTCTAACATTTGCAGTCGCTTTTAACAAAGCGTATGATTACATCAAAAGTGAAGAATTAATGAAAACAAGTAACAAGCATGTGTCTGTCGGTAAGGGGAAATATCATTCTGATGGTGCAGCCTCCGAAAGTGCAAGGCCTAGAGCTCCGGCCCTAGGTTGGGGAGGAAATCGCCAGGAAGTTAGGGCAACAAGGCCACCAATGCGATATAGCTCGTATACACCCCTTAACACTCCTAGAGCATCAATTTATTCTATAAATAGGAATAGAGAAGGATGGGTAAGGCCAATCCCAATGAAAGCAAAGCCGAGAGATGCCAAGAAGTACTGTATGTTTCATAGGGATGTGGGTCATTATATCGAAGAATACACGCAATTGAAGAATAATATTTAAGAGTTGATATGGAAAGGGAAATTAACATATGAAAAGGGCAATTAACTCAGTATCGGTTGGGTGCAAGAGGAAGCCAGCCGCCACCCCGGCAGGTTAAAAGGCAACAACTAGAAGGAAGGCCAGAGAGGCCGCAAGGTGGAATGGTTCGACAAGGAGGTTGAGGAACGCCACCGTTATCAATGGGAAGAGGGGTAGATGTGATAACGGGAGGGCTTGTGCATGGAGGAACGTCCTCGACCATAAATGCACCTGTCTGAGCATCGTCATATCGTAAATGCACTAGACGCCGATAAACAACCTCGACCGACTTCAATTCCTAACGTGGTGTTTACAGAGGATGATGCAAGGGGAACTATTTTCCCTAGTGATGATTTGTTGGTACTGATAACAAATATTAATGGGGCTGACATCAAAAGAGTCCTGGTAGATGGGGGTAGCTCTGCAAATGTTTTGTTCATGAAAGATTTTAACGAGATGATGATTAGAAAGCAATATCTGACGCAGGTGTCTTATCCAATTATTGGGTTCAATGGATCAATAGTGAGACCTGAAGGAAGTATTGTTCTACCAGTGCAATTGGATGATGGGCCGACGGCGAGGGACGTGATGGCAGAATTCCTAGTAGAGAATGTACCATTACCTTATAATGCAATTATCGGTAGGCCGATAATTCATGATGTGCAGGCAGTAGTGTCTACTTATCACCTGACGATAGCTTATGTGTCAAATTTGGGAGCTGTAGAAAAGGTTCACGGAGGCAGGTAATGGCAAAGTCTTGTTATGTAACGGCTTTGAAAAATCCGGTTGGGAATGGACCGGTGCTAAGTAATCCTAAAAAGGAATTAGAGCCAACAGTGCTGGATTTGGCCAAGAGAAATTTTGATGCGAGGCCGGAATCAACACCAAGGCCATTTCCAGGTGGAGAGACAGTGCAAATTGAGTTACAGCCAGGTGATTCAAGTCAGACAGTCAAGGTGGGGGCAAATATGGATGTTGATAAAAGGATGCAATTTGATAAGTTTGTTGCGTGAGAACGCGGATGTTTTTTCCTTCTCGATAAGTAAGATGCCAGGGATTCATCCTGAGGTGATGGAGCATAAGTTGAATGTAAACAAAGGGTTCAGGCCGATAAGGCAGAAAAAGCGCAATTTCACGACTGAGAAGATAGAGGCCATACAAGCTGAGGTTAATAAACTCCTAGCAGTAGGGTTTATTGAGCCATGCACATAACCGGAATGGTTGGAAAATGTTGTAATGGTGAGAAAGCCAACAGGAAAATGGCGGATGTGTCTAGATTTCATCGATTTGAACAAAGCTTGTCCCAAATATTGTTATCCGTTGCCCCGAATAGATAGATTAGTGGACTCCACTTCCGGCCATGCTATGCTCAGTTTTTTAGATGCATTCTCGGGGTATCACCAAGTAAGTCTTCATAAGGCGGACAGGGCAAAAACAACTTTTATAACAGACGCTGGAGTGTATTGTTATAAGGCGATGCCATTTGGGTTGAAGAATGCCGGAGCGACTTACCAGAAGTTGGTTGATAAGACTTTCGAGAAGCAAAAGAGACGAAATGTGGAGGTGTATGTAGATGATATGATTGTTAAAAGTAGAGAAAAGGAGGATCACATAGCTGATTTAAGAGAAACGTTTGAGACATTGCGGAAGTATCAGATGAAGTTAAATCCGGAAAAGTATGTGTTTGGGGTTTGATCAGGGAAGTTTATAGGTTTCATGGTTAGTGAACGAGGAACATACGCAAATCTTGACAAAGTGAATGCAGTACTTGAGATGAAGCAACTGAAACTATTCGAGATATATAAAGGCTGACTGGCAAAATAGCGGGATTAACGCGGTTCATCAGCTAGTCTGTTGATAAAGCACTCCCATTTTTTGTGGTTTTACAGCAGAACAAAGCATTTTAATAGGAAAAAGAACAAAGCGATGCACTAGAAGTGGTGAGGAACCATTTAAGATCCCTTCCAATGGTGGCAAAACCATTTAAGATCCCAAGACGATAGCTGTGGTGTTGTTGGTAGAAAGAAAGAAAAAGCAAATGCCGATATATTTTGTTAGTCATGTTCTTAATGCGGCTGAGCGTCGTTATCCTGTGATTGAAAAAATGGTGTTGGCAGTGGTGATAGCGGCTAAAAAATTGAGACCGTATTTTGATGCCCATCCTATGGATGTTCTGACAAACCATCCGTTGCAAAAATCTTTGCACAAGATGGATACATCATGTTGGCTGTTAAAGTGGGCAGTGGAGTTGTCGGAGTACGAGATACACTATAAGCCTAGAGTATAAATAAAGGCACAGGCCTTATCTGGTTTCATTGTAGAAACCTCATATAGTGACGAAGAGGAAGAACTGGGCACTTGGTAGGTTTCAGTGGATGGATCCACAACATCAACAGGATCGGGGGCAGGAATAGTTATAACGGCCCCAGATGGAAAGATTTTTGAATATGCAATTAAGTTTAAATTCAAGGCCACCAACAATGAGGCTGAGTATGAAGCAGCTGTTGTTGGAATTCAACTCTCTATAGCGGCTGAAGCAAAATGACTGGTTCTGACAACTTATTCTCAACTAGTGTCCAGTCAGTATACTGGAGAATATGAAACAAGAAAGGCGACAATGATCAAGTACCTTGAAAAGATGAACCAATTAACAGCGCAGCTACAATACTTTGAAATCAGGCTTGTACCGAGAATAAAGAATGCGCAAGCCGACGCTATGGCTAGGTTGGTCAGTTCGAGTTTTAATGACTTAAAAAGAACAGTCATGGTAGAAGTCTTGAAGCGGAAGAGCATAGATCAAGAGACAGAACAAGTACTTTGTATCAGTAACGGCACACAGTGGTATGATAAGATATTGGCGTTTCTCTTACATGGGGCATTGCCACCAGATCAGGGAGAGTCAAGAAAGCTACGAAAAGATAGTGTGTGGTTCATTATGCATCAGGGACAATTATATAAAAGAAGTTTTTCATTGCCGTTAAGGATATGTATAACTGATTTTGAATCAGCCAGGTTAATTGAAGAAATACATGAGGGCACATGCGGTAATTACCTCGGACCAAGGGCTCTGTCACGAGAAGCAATGAGAAGGGGGTACTATTGGCCGATTATGAATGAAGATGCCATCCGATATGTGAAAAAGTGTGAAAGATGTCAAAAGTTCGCACCTGCTATCAACTTACCGCCGAATGATTTGATGACAATACTTAATCCAGTCCCATTTTCTCAATGGGGAATGGATATAGTAGGACCGTTTCCGTCTGCAACAAGTGGAAGAAAATTTCTTCTAGTGGCCATTGACTATTTCACAAAGTAGATAGAGGTTGAACCAGTAACAAAGATATCAGCATAAGAAGTGAAAAAGTTCATTTGGAAAAACATCTTCACAAGGTTTGGGCTTCCGATGGCAATGGTGTTTGATCATGGATCACAATTTGATTGTAAACCAATAGAACAACTCTTGTTAATGTACAAAGTCAAGTTTGCCTATGCGGCAGTCTTTCATCCGCAGTCAAACAGCCAGGCAGAAGCGACGAATGAGCAATTCATAACGGCGATAAAAAAGAAAATTGAATATGCAAAAGGGTTATGGGAAAATTTGATAATTGATATATTATGGGCAAATAGGAAAACGGTCAAAGAAACCACATGTGAATTACCCTTATCATTGATCTTTGGAACAGAGCAGTGGTGCCGGCAGAAGTGGGATTGCCAACATTCAGAATTCGGCACTACTGTGAAGAGCAAAATTATTTGTTATTACGACAACAACTGGATTTCATACTGGAAGTGCAAGAGAAAGCAGCAGTTAAATCAGCTTCTTATAAAGATAAAATGTCAAGGGCATACAAAAGACGAATGAGTTATCGGCCATTGGCAAAGGGAGATCTAGTGTTGCGAAGAACAGCTGCAACAGGAAGGGGAAATGAAGATGGAAAGTTAACGACAAACTGGGAGGGACCACTAGAGATATGGTAACGCAAGGTTCGTTTTAACTAGAGACAATGGATGGAAAGCCATTGAATATAGTGCAGTGGGTGATCAATATTGTACAATCGCCAAAAGGATACTTAACTGACTATGAAAATAGTGCACTAGGTGATCAATATTGTACAGTGAACCATCAACACGTGCATATAATTGTATAACAAACATATGCATTGCGGGGGAAAGAGATAAGATAATATGGATAGGATTAAAACAGGGAAAATAAACAAAATGATAGGATTGTTACAAGAAAAAAAAACAAACTGATAGAATCGTTATAAATATGAGGCCGATAATGATATAAGCTTGTGTGTGTAATTAAATTAAGGAATTAAGGTCGATAATGTTACAACCTTGTGAAACTAATTTGATAGTTAAATTACGGAACGTTTAAATTTTTTACGCAATAATTTAAGTATGAAATTTGTGATGGAAGGCGAGAATTGCTGATAACTTAGATAAAAGTAATTGATAGAAATGAAGTTGAGACAGCATAAACTATTGGAATTTTTTTTTCTATGTGTTCACAATAATAAAAGATGACAATCGACAGGCACCACCAAAAAAAGGGGTATATGCCGATAAAACAACATTGTCAAAAAACATTTTAGCAAAAACAAATGATAATACATTTCAAATTAAAGCTGATAAGGCCCAACTATGCAAGACCCACAAGAAGATGTCGGTGATGACTGCCTGCCCCTTCAAGCTTGTCTATTCTCAAGCATTGGAGAATTTAGGATGCTGGAATCTTTGGGGCCGTCATCAACACTCGGCTCATAGTTAAAGAGGTCTTCTTCAGCAAATTGTTGGTGCTCAAAGCCTGAAGGTATCTTGTAAGCTTCATCATTAAAAGCTTTTTTGACCTTAGCCCAGTCCTCTTTTTTCCAGCCAGCATGATGGGCAATACATCTCTGAGCAGTTGTCCACCCCCATCAAAATGATCTTGGAGTCGTGTAAAGAATTCTTTGGAAGCCAAATAACTTCAAACTACCCTTTGACGAATGCGAGGCTTATCAGCCTCCATCTTCTAAACCATTTCTTCAAGGTTTTGAATTATAGCCTTGGCATCATTGAGATTTTTCTCGAGGGAGGGAAGACGCTCAAGGGCATGGTTCTTCTCAGCAATTTGATCCTTTAACTGCTGAAATTCCCTCACGAGTCTCTCAAGTTTGATAGCTTTAGCCTTGAGAGATGCTATCTCCAAATCATCTCTTTGTTTAGCCTCTTTCAGCAAATTAAGAGCTCTATTAGCATTGTCTAAGGCCGTTTGCAGGGCATTTTGGCTAGCAGAGGCTTAATGGTGTTGCTCTTGATAATAGCGATACATCTCAACAAGCTTAGTACCAGACATAAGAGTCTGCGTAAAAGAAAATGTTATCTAATTATTAGAATATAAATAATAACATAAATGTACCATAACGTGCCTGTAAGAGGTGTATAGTAAATAACATATAAAAAAAGTGTGATGATAATGATAAAGATAATAAGTAATATACAAATCGAGTACCTTCATCATATTGTGTATATGAACGGCAGCAAGAGGGCCGATTTCACCTACTGGCTTGTCGGAGTCAGGTTGCATAGATGACGGTAACCAAGATTCCCACCTTGCATGGGGTCATCGGTGAAGAGTGATTCATTTCAGTACACGTCAAGATCGGGCTTCCATCGATCTCCAGAATGGCCAGGAGGGACAGAGAACCCTCTTAGAACTAATTTAGGAAACCTCTCTTCAGGGCGCTCAATCCATTGATTAG